ATCAAATAACCCCATTTCCATGGTTGCCTGGACTTCTCTCCAGGGATCCTCATTTTTGTTCTGGGCTTGACCTTACCTATGGTAATTTTAAGGCCCAGATACAAAATTCCACGTTGCCAAGAACTCACTTTTATAGTCTTTGGAGAAGCCAATGATTCATCAAGGAAGCTTGTTTTCCCACAGATAAGCAGAGCCATGGGATTTACCAGCTTAGAGGGATTTGAGACATTCATAAAACCATAGAAATTCAGGTTTGGAGGAGTTGAGAGCCACTCAGATCAATTCTTTCTTTCTGAATTCCCTCTTTCCAAGCCTCCTTTCTTGGTTTCTATGACATCCAATGTCCAGTTTCCTTCTTATCTTTCTGGTCGCTTCTTCTCAGTCTACATTGCAGGCTGCTCTTTCCAGGCCTCAATCTAAACTCTCCCCAGGCCCATGGCATTAAGTACCATCCGTATGTTGATGATTCCCAAATTTATTTGTTTGTCTGTTTATCCTCACCCAAGGACCATTTTTTCAATGATTTTTAAAAATATATATTTTTATTGATTTCAGAGAGGAAGGGAGAGGGAGAGAGAAAAACATCAATGATGAGAGAATCATTGATCGGCTGCCTTCTGCAGGCGCCCTACTTGGGACCAAGCCCATAACCCAGGGATGTGCCCTTGACCAGAATCGAACCCGGGACCCTTCAGTCCACAGGCTGACACTCTGTCCACTGAGCCAAACCAGCTAGGACTTTCCATTAATTTTTAAAAAGAGTGGAAGGGAGGGGGAGGGACAGAGAGAGAAACATCGATGTGAGAAAGACACATCGATTGGTTGCTTCTAGGAGTTGAACCGAAGACCCTACAGTCCATGGGCTGACTCTCTACACACTGAGCCAAATCAGCTAAGGCATGATTCCCAAATTTATTTTATTTTATTTTATTTTATTGATTTTTGAGAGAGAGAGTTAGAAGCATTGATGAGAGAGAAACATTGATCATCTGCCTCTTGCACACCTCCTAGTGGGGATGTGCCCGCAACCAAGGTACATGCCCTTGGCTGGAATCAAACCTGGGACCATTCAGTCTGCAGGCCGATGCTCTATCCACTGAGCCAAACCGGTCAGGGTGATTCCCAAATTTATATTTCCATTCTACATGCTTCCCTGAGTCTCAGGCTCCTATATTCAACTCTCTATCCCTTGCCTCTCATCTATCTCACAAACATCTCAAACTTTATATGTTTAAAATGGACTCTGGACTGTACCTTCACTCATATCAATGAGTTCCTCCCATAGTCTTCCAACAACAGGCTCCACTGTTCACACAGATGCCTGAAACCTGAGAGTCCTTCTTCTTACCTACCTTCCTTTCATCACTGTCACATCCAGTCTGTTAATAAATTCTTCCCACCATTTCTCAAGAGCATCCACATCTCTTCACTTCCAATGCCATCATCCTTGTCCCATGTCCCAGCCATCATCATCATCTCTCCACCAGACCACTCCGGTAGTGTCCTAACCAGTTTCCCTATGCCTATGTCACCCCAATCCATTCTCTACAGAGCAACGGGAGGGTGCTTTCAAGATGTGAACATAAATCTGAAACCTTTAATGGCTCCCACTGCACCCAAATAACATCTAATCTCCTGTGACTGCTTAATATGACTCCAATACCTCTAACCTCATCTCCCCTCTTGGCCATTGTGCTCCAGCCTTGCTAGCATTTCATTGCCTTGAACATACCCTCAGGGCCTTTCCATGCTAGGACCTCTTCCTGGAACACTCTTCCACAGATTTCTTCTTCAGGTCACAGCTTATGGTGTTAAACACATCCACAGATTCTTTTACTTCACCCTTTCAAAAGATGGACTGTTGTTCCTCCCCTCCCCTAGATTATGGACTGGCCTCAGCAACTTGCTTCTAACGAGTAAAATGCTGCAGAAGTGACTGCGTGTAACTTCTAAGGCTAGGTCAGAAAAGGTGATGCAACTTCTAACCTGGCTCTCTCTCTCTCTCTCTCTCTCTCTCTCTCTCTCTCTCTCTCTCTCTCTTCACCCTGGGAACCCAAGCACCATGCTGTGAAAAAGGCAAGCAGGCACATGAAGAGACCGCAGCAGAGGTCTCAGTTGATAGCCCAGCTGCAGTCCCTTGCCAACAGCCAGTAACAACCACTAGACATGTAAATGAGGAAGTCTTCAGATGAGCCCCTCCCCCAGGCCCAGGTTGATGCTAGAGCAGAGACATGTCATTCCCACCGAGCCCTGCCTAAATTGCAGATTTTTGAGCAAACTAATTGTTGTCATCGTCTTAAGCCAGTAGGTGTGGGGTGCTTTGTTACATAGCAACAGATGCCTGGAATATAGCTGCTATGTCTCTTTTTCAGAACTGCCCTCCCTGATCATCCTAAGTGTCCACTGGCTCCATTTGCCACTAATAAATGGTTAATTACTATTATTAACCTCAACGCACAGCTTAGTGCCTGGCACACAGGAGATGCTCAATGAATATATGCAGAATTACTGAATAAGAGAATAGATCTTCTTGTCACTTTTGAAGTTACCAGTCATTGACGAGTGGAGGTTTGTGTGTTTATCTGCAGAGTGGTGATGTCAAACAGCAATTTAGACAGAGGGAAGGGTAGGCGCATGCTCTCCTGGTACTGCTGCACGGGGAGGGTGGGCAGACTTGATGACCACCAACCAGGCAGGGTCCTAGATGACCAGCAGTCACTGGGGCCTGGGAAGGTAGGTGGGGGCGCCCCAAAGACACTAGTCCTGGTGTGAATGCAGCAGGCAGCCTTTTTTATCTGTGGTTTAGGAATTGTCTTTCTCAGAGTTGGGCATGCACCTGATTTGGGAAAGAGAAGACAGGGGGACTGAGGCAGGAGAGAATCATTCTTGCAAGAGATGCTGCACCTCAGCAGAGTTGATAATGACAAGCATGTCTGACAATTGAGTTTCGGGCTGGTTCCTGGGGGCCCTGTTCATGGCTTTCTGCTCTGACATGTGGTTCCCTTGGTGACAGGATGGCTGCTGGCGGACAGCGGCTTTGGGGCCACCTGACAAGCTCTGACATTAACTGGCTCTGACAGCTCTGATTGGGATAAAAAGATGTAGGGCCCCTTCTGGCTTTCTCAAATTAAACCCTCCCTCCTGGAGTGAGTTTGTTTATAAAGGTGGAGTTACATTAGGAGACTTTTCCTGTGATAAAGGAGCTCTTTTACCATAGAGATTGACGTGTTAGGGCTGCTGACAATATTTCTGAGTCAGGCTCCTCGAAGCAGCCCTGGCAGGTAAGGCTACACTCTCATCTGTTTCCCAGGCAATGTCTCTGAGGGGCATGAACGAGGAAAACAGAAACCACACCAGTTATTTTAACAGCGAGAATTTAATCTAAGCCATAGATCAGGGGTGGGCAACCTTTTTGTGAGTGCGTGCCAAAACCAGCAAAATCTCTGACTCAAAATTCTTCTG